CGCCATTTACCTTCCCGCCAGAGCGGTACCTATTTCTCTACTTGCACTTTGACGTGCTTTCGAACTGCTAGGTTGGCAGGAGCTGGAACGAGCAACGGGAGCTCACCCTGTCCTGGGGATTTGAACCGCCGACCTTCTGATCGGCAAGTCCTAGGCTCTGGTTTAACCCACAGCGCCACCCGCGTCCCACTCAACATACCTTAGAACTAGCTTTACTTCACCTTGCGCCTCCCCCCCCCCCCCCGGCTTCAGCTGACTCTCCTGCCTCTGCTCCACTGCAGTACCTGAAAAAGCTCCACACACAGGAACGGGCAGTGGAGGAAGTGAAGCTGGCCATCAAGCCCTATTACCAGAAGAAGGAGATCACCAAGGAAGAATACAAGGACATCCTGCGTAAAGCCGTCCACAAGGTGAAAGAGGCTCCTGGGGTCACGTGGGAGACTTGAAAGTGGGCAGGCCCACGGGGAGAGAAGGAAAGGTATTGACTCTTGTTTTGTCCTCCTCCAATCCTCCTTTAGATCTGCCACAGCAAGAGCGGCGAAATCAACCCCGTCAAAGTGAACAACCTAGTGAAGGCGTACGTCCAGCGATACAAGTACTTTCGAAAACACGGGCGCAAGATGGATGAGGAGCCAGGCCCCCCCAAGGAGATAGCGGGGCTGGACAAGTCTGGCTTGCCCATGCCCCCGCTCTGATTCCCCCCCGCCTCTTGACCACCAGGGGGAAAAAATAATAAAAAAGAATGGCCCTTCTTTATGCAAATAGGCTTGGCTGGGCCCCCCTCCCCCAGCCCCCTTTCCTGTGTGTGGGGCGTGTGGAAGGGAGGGGTTGGGGCGACCCGCTTTGTTTGGGGAGGGGTGGCATTTGGAGAGTTTGGTTCTTGTGCATCTGCTACCTGCCCCTCAACACTCAACAGTTTTAGCCACAAAGCGACTTGTGTTTTACCCTGTAAATACAGATGAGAGGATGGGAAACTAATTTATAGTTTCATCACTCTCCAGACCCCACCACCCCCATGATAAAATGGGTGGATGTTATTCCCCCCACCCCACCCACCTTAGTTTTTACTCATTTAGCATGTTTTTAATTTGACGGTTTTATTCTCGCCCTCCCTCCCTCCCGTCAGGAGTCATGAAAGAGCAGTACCGTGACCGGCCTGTAGATGGCAGCTTCCTGCCACACTGGGCGGGTAGCACATCCCTCATCCTCCCCCCAGTTGTAAGTTCGTCTGCCATACTCTTCCCCTCCCCTTTCTCTTCATAAAACTGCATTTAGCCATCTAAACCGAGCTCTGTCTCTGTGGTCCTTTAGTGAGGGGTGTGTGCGTGTCTCTGTATTTCTTTTTTGGGGGGTGGGGTGCACTCCCCCAGAACGCAGATGGATCACATTTGTTGCTACAACTACCTTGTGGAAGAACTGCTTTGGTTTTTTTATTCTTTAAAGAGTGCTTGAGGCATCGGGCAAAATCTTGCTTTGCATATGGCAACCCTCTCCCCGCGCTATTCTGGGGAGCAACTGCGTCTCTGCACCCCTATTTAAGCAGTCACGTTAGAGTAGGCCTAGCACTCTGGATCAGCTCCTCAGCCTTTTCTTTTTCTTCTTCTGGAGTTCCCATTTTCTGAATTCTTCCTCCAGGGCCGAATGTTGATTCTTCGGGCTCATCCCTATCTCATAACTACCCATGAAATCAGTATGAGACATCGCCTAGGGCTGGGGCGATACCAGCTTTTCAACATTGTGATGCAACACCAGCCAAACATCATGATACAGTGATACTCTTTGCGGTGTTGCATCGAGCTGCATCAGCCGCGTCCCTGCGGTGAAACTGCTGCCTCTCCGGCAGAGGGAGCTGAGGCAGCTTCACCCCAGCACCTTGTGGGGCTGTGGCCGTCGCAGCTTGTTCTTCTGCAGGGCGGAGGAGCTCAGGAATGGCAGAGGTTTCACCTGTGATATACTGCTGGGTGAAGGCCCCGTCTGGTCCTGGGTGATATATCAGTGCATCACCCAGGCCTGGTACTTAGTTGAACCCGATCACATTGTATAATAATGGGGGGTGGGGGCTGTGGTCCTCCAATTGTCACTGGACTCCAAATTCCATCCGCCCCTGCTGGCGGTCAGGGATGGGAGGTGTCTGGCAAAATCTGGAGGGCCACAGCTTCGCTTTCCCCTTCCCCTTGCTGTAGTTGGTCGACTGTACCCTTTTGGTCATTGTTGTTGCCACCCCCTGAGGATGCCCAGAGTCAGGTTGCCCAAGAAACACCTAAGAGGTGGGGTAATACAGGGGTAGCCAATGTAGTAGAGGTATTGGGAGAACTACAGTTCCCAATATCCCCTACCAGTGTGACAAATGGCTGAGGATGAAGAGAGTAAGTAGGAGAGCGCTACATTGGCTATCCCAGGAGGAAGTGTATAAACCAGGGTTTCCCAAACCAGGGTCTCCAGCTGGGGTTTTTATTGTGTGTGGGGGTTGTTGTTTTTTTTGGGGGGGACTACAATTCCCATCACCCCAACCATTGGTCCTGCTAGCTAAGGATGATGGGAGTTGTAGTATATACAAACACCGGTGGGAGGAGAATGTAAGGAAGAAACTTGCAAGGGACTGTGCAGAGAAGGAAATCTATGTAACAGCCCTTCTGAAAATCCGGTATAACATTGCTAAAGAAGTCTTCTAAGCAACCCCCACAAACAGCTGCTGGCAAACAAAATTCTCATTTTCAAGAAAGTGGGGCAGTTTTCTAAGATTATGTTGTTGTTGTTGTTGTTGTTGCTGCTGCTGTTGTTGTTACTTTGACTTCCTGCGCCAGGCTATGAATTGGAAAAGTTGAGAGTAAGAATGGGGCGGCAGCCTTGAGCCCAGAGAACCTGGGTTAATTTGCTCAGCGAGGTTCTTGCCGAAAGGGCTGCAGCAGCAGCCGTGTTGGTAGGGTGGGTGCTTCAGCTAACCCTGCAGGAGCTGACACCGGTTAGTGGGAAAGAGAGGAAAAATGGGAAATGCTGTCGGGGACAGATGTGGACTTTGTCTGAACTCACACCCCTCTGGCATTCGGGACTCCAGCTCGGATTAGCTGCAGCACCTTCTCTGTAAGGGCGCAACACAAATGTTTGGGGCTTTTCAGTTTAGGAAAAAACGTAATCAGCTGGGGGTGAAGAGACCCTATAGAGGCTTACTGCATCAAGCATATTGCAGAGAGAGCAGGTTGAAGTTTTTCTCCCCCCCCCCCGGAAATAGTCAAAAGTTTTGGTCATCCAGTGAAACGAACTGGCAGGTTGTTTCAGAGCAGATGAGAGAAAGTGCCACACAGTGTATAATGAATGATTCATGGGATTCGCTGCCACAAGATGAGACAGCCGCTGGCTTAGGTGGCTTTAAAAGGGGGATTAGAAGGATCGGTCTGTCAATGGTAACTGATCATGATGGCTGCGTGGCGTTTCCAGGTTCAGAGGCAGGATAGTTCCTTCCCAGTACTAGTTGCTAGACCTCTGATCCGATCCTGCGGGGCTTTTCTTGTATTGAATCCTTCAACTCTTTGCTGCTCTTGCCTTCAAAATCATGGCAGGTTAGGGGTTGAAATGGTGTGTACATAGTCTTAGTTTTATTTATGAAGTGCCTAAAATTACTAATGTACTGCACATTTTAGAAAAATCATTCTCTGCTTCGCAGGGTCACCCTTTGAAATCTAACCAGCATCATTAGGAAGTGAAGGGAGGGCAGAAACTGAGAGGGAGTACTGTATAGCCAAACCTGTAATGGCCTGTTGAAAGGAAATTCAGTCCAGAATAAATTGGTTTTCTGAAAGAAGAAACCAGAGAGGCAGAGGTAGGGAGTTCCATGCAGAGTTAGAAGCCAGTGGCCTGGTTCACACATAATGCTGAGCCATGGTTTGCTCAGCATACTTAGTTTGAACATCCAAACCCAACCCAGCAGACTAACCATGGTTTGTTTTCTGGGAATCATAATGTGAAGCAATTGGAGGATTTTGTTGGCTTATAAACTGGTTTGTTCAAACTATGGTTTGGCATGATACCTGCACCCAACAGCCTTAACTATGGTTTGTTTGGCAGCTCCACCCCAGGCACTATAGGAAAACAAGGCAAAAACAGCTGGAAAACAAGTCACACTTTGAAGAAACCAGTTGTTGCTTGTTTGCTTGTCTGTAAAACTACTCTTGTGTTTATTGAACAAACGTGGTTTAGAGGCGTGTGAACATAACCAGAACAAGTGACTGCAGACAAGAGGAAAAAGGGAGAGGACATAACCAGAAAATGAAATTTTTAATTAAATCTTGTTCTACTAAAAGTACTCAGATCAATGAGTGGACTAAGGAGTGCAATCATGTAAAGAGAAATGGAGAGAAAGGAATAATGTCAAGAGGAGGGAGGAGACTTTAAAATAAGTTTATAGATAACAAGATGATTAGCAGAGCTGAGGACTGAAATAAGGAAAAAGGCAGGAGACTGACTGGAGTTATATTAGGGCAAACAGGGTGAGAATTGGCAAAAACTTGCTACCGTCTTAGCACCATCAAAAGAAAGGACTGGGTGCATCTAATGATTTTCAAGAAAAACAGCAAGCCTGCATCAGAATTACTGTGGATTAAAAAGTGAGATAAAAAAACACACTAAGATTGCAAACAAGAAGCAGTAAAAAGTAGCATTAAATCTTAAGAATAATTGGGACACTCAGAGATGATAAATCCAGTTTTTGCCATTATTATTATTTCTTAAATTTATATACAGTGGTGCCTCGCAAGACGAAATTAATTCATTCCGCGAGTTTTGTCGTCTTGCGATTTTTTTCGTCTTGCGAAGCACGGTGTCGGGAAAGTTTTGGAAAAGCTTCAAAAATCACCAAAGTCTTTAAAAACATCAAAAAAGGCTACCACACCGCGTTCTATGAGTTGCTCCTCGAAGTCAAGTTGCAACTGTATTAACGGTGTTAAGAAAAAGGAAACAAACTTGCAAGACATTTCCGTCTTGCGAAGCAAGCCCATAGGGAAAATCGTCTTGCGAAGCAGCTCAAAAAACAAAAAACCCTTTCGTCTAGCGAGTTTTTTGTCTTGCGAGGCATTCGTCTTGCAAGGTACCACTGTACCGACTTTCACCTAAAGATCACAGAGTGGTTGACAACATAAAAACACAAAGTGCATAACATAATAATAAAGGGACAAACCCTCACATTTTAAAAGCCAGAGAGTGTTTAACAGCCAAAGACCTAGTTAAAGAGGCGTGTTTTCGCCATGTTCAGCTGCTGATTGTGGTCGTGACGCCTACGACGAAACCAACGAACAATATGAACAAGAACGGATGAAGCAAAAAAACCCAAACGAAACCCCCCCCCAAACTCTTGAATATCCTCTGCATGCAGGGATGCTAATAGAAACCGAAAGCGGCTGCCAGCTGTCTCAGTGGAAGGTTTGTGCAAGTGAGCAGTGACCATCTCCACCAAAGGGGCTGCCGGAATGCCCCTTTCTCAGGACTGGCAAAGAGGAGTGTCGATTCTGCTGCGTAAGAGAAACAACGAAAGCTGTCTGAGGAAGAGGACCCAAATCTGCAGCTATCTCCGAAAGAAGGGGGATAAAAGTTTTGCGCGGCTAATTAAACTGCACCTCCATCTTCTCTTGCCATTCTCTCAGTTGGTCCAGATAGGATCCTTGCAGCGAATCCGATATCCTTAGGTCCGGCTCTGCTCCGTTTAATGATGAGGCCCCGCGGGACTGGCTCAACTCGTAGAGAGCTTCCAGTGTCTTAGGGATGACCTGTGAAAAGGGAAGTGGGGAGAGAACGAAAACAAAACAGTTGCTGCTGCTTGTGTTCCGTTCATTTAGTTCTTCCCTGGTACTTAATAGAACTGCCTACCATGTGTGGCAGGGCAGAGACTATAGCATTTTCCCACTTTATCCCCAGGGCTACATAAAAGGAGGGAGGGCTGGGCTACCTTAGAGGGAACCGCTCTGCCCACTGCAGTGAAAACAGACTTTGGCTACAGAGTTTTGCTGATTAATGGACATACAGTGGTACCTTGGGTTACAGACACTTCAGGTTACAAACTCCGCTAACCAGGAAGTGGTTGCTCCAGGTTAAGAACTTTGCCCCAGGATAAAAACAGAAATCACGTGCCAGCAGCAGCATTGAAGCGAAAGCATGCCTCAGATTAAGAACCGTTTCAGGTTAAGAACAGACCTCCAGAACAAATTAAGTTCTTAACCCGAGGTATCACTGTATATATACAGTATTACCTCGGTTTATGAACTTAATCTGTTCCGGAAGTCCGTTCTTAAACCAAAACCATTTTAAACAAAGGCATGCTTTTCCTAATGAGGCCTTCCACCGTTCAGATTCCATTCTTAGACTGAGGTAAAGTTCTGAAACCAAGACACTATTTCCGGTTTTGCGGAGCTTGTGAACCAAATCATTCTTAAACCAAGGTACCACTGTACATATTTATCAGCTAAAGAAGTACCCACAGTTGATCAGGTATCCAATTTTGCAAAAAGGTAAGTCCCTATGAAAGCTGTAGATGATGTAAACTATCTGTTGCAGGGATGGGGGCCTGTGATCCTTCGCATGTTTGTTAGGACTCCCAATTCCAGTTCTCCCACACCCCCAAGCTGGTTTGCATGACATCACTGCTTTTACCCTTATCACTGAATAATCTTATTCTCTAGCTTAAGCACAGGGAGTCTGAGGCTTCGATTTTTAAGATACTTACAAGACTTAAAGGACCTATTACTCAATTCAAGAAATCACGGTCAGTCAATTTTAGTTTTACATAATCTCGCCTGTGTATAAAACAGTTGTAAAGATTTTCTTATGTGCTTTGATTCAAAAATGATGCATGTGTCACCTTAGCCAATATCCTAATTATTTCCCTCTTCTCTCATATGCAATAAAGCAGGGAGGGGAAACCTGCAGTCCTCCAGATGTTGCTGGACTACAAATCCTATCATCCCTGACCACTGGCCTTTGCTGCCTGTGGCTGATGGGGACTGTAGTCAAACAACATCTGGAGGTCCACAGGTCCCACAGTGAATCCTCAGACAAAGGAACTTTCACTGCTCATGTCAACATTGCTCTGTCCTAAGTGGTAAAACAGGCTTCCTCAACCTCGGCCCTCCAGACGTTTTTGAGACTACAATTCCCATCATCCCTGACCACTGGTCCTGCTAGCTAGGGATCATGGGAGTTGTAGGCCAAAAACATCTGGAGGGCAGAGGTTGAGGAAGCCTGTGGTAAAGCTTCTCAAGGTGTGTTAACAATATTTGCTTTAGTTATCTTTATGCCTGGGTCAAAGTATGATGGGACAGTCTTTTTGTGAGTACCTCAGATCCACACCAGGTTTGGAATAAACAGGAGCAAGATGGTGCAGGAGGACATGTTCCAAGCAACCACTGTGGCAGAATTAATCTCCAGGTCTTCCTTCCACTCCAGCTCACAGACGCCCCCCAAGAACATACTAAAAGTATACCCCCCTTTTCAAACCATGCATGAGCAACCCTGGTTGCAGTGAATCAGCTGTGTTAAATCAGTTAGAGGCAGCACTTGTAGATGTTTGCTTCTGAGCTGCGGAAAAGAGAGCAGCATATTGGACGGTGCTTAAGCAAAGCATGGAAAGGGACAGAAGTACTTACTTCCACCATGAGCAGTTTTTTCTTCCAGGGCCGGCGGGTGTCTGGCCAATCTTCCCCAAAGCATAACCACAAGGTGTACTTAGGGGATCCCTGTCTGCCTTCCATATATCCAACCAGGTCTGGGGAGGCAGGGAGAGAAAGGGAGAAGAGCATTTCCTTTATATTCTAAAGCCCTATCAGTTCCTCAACTGGTAGCTGCATGCTGATTACTATCTCTGTGGCCTTTAACTCGGCGCAAGGGCTGTGGAGGGGTATCAGATGTTGCCAAGGTCCACCAAAAAGGCTGCATGTTAGACCACCCTGGTAAAGATGCTAAAATAGTACAGGGGAGAGGACAGAACCCTGCAGCCCAAGTGCCGTGGGGCTGAGGAGCGTTCATCCGGTGGCACTCTTGGAACACAACCTTGAAGGTAAGAACAGAACCAATGTAAAAAGGTAAAGGATCCCTGAATGGTTAAGTCCAGTCAAAAGCGACTAGGGTTGCAGCGCTCATCTTGCTTTTCAGGCCGAGGGAGCTGGTGTCTGTCCGCAGACAGCTTTCTGTTCATGTGGCCAGCATGACTAAACTGCTTCTGGCACAACAGGACACCGTGATGGAAACCAGAGCGCACGGAAACGCCGTTTACCTTCCTGCCACATTGGTACCTATTTATCTACTTGAGCTGGCGTGCTTTCGAACTGCTAAGTTGGCAGGAGCTGGGACTGAGCAATGGGAGCTCACTCTGTCACGGGGATCCATACGGCCGGCCTTCTGACCAGCAAGCCCAAGAGGCTCAGTGGTTTAGACCACAGCACCGCCCGCATCCCAGAACCACTGTAATAAGTTGCTTTCGATGTTTTCCCCACTGCATCAATCCAGGAGGACTAGGAGTCTTATGAACATCCGGGGAGCCACAGATTCCCCATCCCTGTCCTGAAGGCACAACCATTTACTTGTATTTCAGTTGGCATGTGAGTTGAGTGCCTGTCCCTCTAGCAGTGGTGGAAAGAGAATCAAAACTTGTTGCAAAAGTTCTCTTAACAGCGAGGGTGAGCCCTTAAGACACGAACCCTTACCCAGGAGCCCTTATGGGACAGGCAACATAGCCCTTGCATACCTTGCACAAACTGCTGCAGGCTGTAAATGGGACCCAGCTGTTCCTTCAGTAGAGCCCCATGAGGCGTCTCGTCTTCAGGCATCTCTGACTGGCTCCAGGACACATGGCAATGGCCTTGGCGCATGCCACACAGAGTTATGCCCTCGATACGGAGAACCACCCCCGGAGCCACGCCTCGCAGAAGGCGCTGAGTGTAGGTCACTTGCAGGCTGTCGTTCAAGCAGACTGGGTCAGGCAGGACCACGTCTGCCAAATCGGGGTAGTGGCCCTGGGAGCCTGGAGGCACAAAGCGCAGGCCTCGCACGTTCTTGAACACGTCGGCGAGGACCAGCCGACCCCGATAGTAGACTCGGACCTCGAAATCTGACTCTGAGGAGGAGAGAGGGATAGTTTGGGGGAGCCAGGTGCAAAACACCACCCACTCTTCCTGTCTCCCAGCGGCAGGAGACGCAACCTTTGCTGTTCCCCCAGGAGGAGAGCGACTTATTGCTCTGCTCGTGCAGCAGCCAGTATCATTCTGGAACGCCCGCTGAAAACAGAGAGCAGCAAATTGCCAAACCTCTTCCAGAGAAATCGCCCATTCAATGTACCAGCACAGTCTTATACGTAAGTCCTCCAAAGTACAGTGGTACCTCTGGTTGAGCAGAACGCAACCCGCGTCTGTGGATTGCAATTCGCTGCTTCTGTGCATGCGCGCGACATCATTTTTGAGCAGCTGCGCATGTGTGAGTGGCGAAACCCGGAAGTAACCCTTTCTGGTACTTCTGGGTCGCCGCGGGACGCAACCTGGAAAGATTTAACCTGAAGCAAACGTAACAAGAGGTATGACTGTATGTGGCACTGCATTCACTCCCAGCTATGTGCAATAGGGACTGCAGACTATCTTCCCCAACTGATATTGTTCATTCATTATTGCATTTATATCCCACCTTTCCTTCAAAGAGCACAAGGTGGTCTACATAGCTCCCCACTCCTATAATCCTTACAACAGCCCTGTGAGGTTGGGCACTTCTGCCTCAGGAAGGTCACTTTGGTGATGCCAACACAGCAAAAACAACATGGGAGGGAAAGGTTTTGAGTTATAAGCTCAACCTGATTGGTGAAATATACGAGCGCTAAGGGTTTCCTTCATCGGGAGGAGAGATCATGAGCGAGACGGATGATGGCTGGTGGGTCAGCTCCAGCTTCCAAGCTATTTTCACTGGGCTAAATATATACAGTGGTACCTCAGGTTACATACGCTTCAGGTTACAGACTCCGCTAACTCAGAAATAGTACCTCGGGTTAAGAACTTTGCTTCAGGCTGAGAACAGAAATCGTGCTCCGGCGGCATGGCAGCAGCGGGAGGCCCCATTAGCTAAAGTGGTGCTTCAGGTTAAGAACAGTTTCAGGTTAAGTACGGACCTCCAGAACAAATTAAGTACTTAACTCGAGGTACCACTGTATTAAACAACAAGCCAATCGAATTTATTTTCACAACTTGTCAGATGGTTCCCCCCGCCTGCCAATCATCTGATGTCAAAGTTGGCCTAGGAGGGTGGGTGGGTGGGAATAAAGATCTGTCCCACCCAGCCAAAGGAGTTCTCCACCTGCTACTTTATACCCTGATTTCTACTACTTAAAAGCACAGCAGTGCCAAGGGGACCAGATACCCTATTTTTTGCTCTATAAGACTCACTTTTTCCCTCCTAAAAGGTAAGGGGAATGTTTGTGCGTCTTATGGAGCGAAGGCAGGCTGCGCAGCTATCCCAGAAGCCAGAACAGCAAGAGGGATTGCTGCTTTCACTGCGCAGCGATCCCTCTTGCTGTTCTGGCTTCTGAGATTCAGAATATTTCTTTCCTTGTTTTTCTCTTCCAAAAACTAGGTGCGTCTTGTGGTCTGGTGCGTCTTATAGAGCGAAAAATACGGGTACTTCTTTTAGATCCAAGCAGCTCACCGAAAGTAGTGCTACTCAAGAGGTTCTGCAGGGGAGATGCTGCAGTTGTGGGTGGAACTAGATTCAACTCAGATGGGGGCAGGCCTCCACAGAAAGCGGGATTCTCTGCTCCTAAACATGGTTGGAGAGAAAAGACAAAGCAAGCACTTGATACCCAACAGACACAAAAACAGAATCGAGAGAGAGGTAAAAAAAGGTAAAGGACCCCTGGACAGTTAACTCCAGTCTAAGGCGACTCTGGGGTTGCGGCACTCATCTCGCTTTATTGGCTGAGGGAGCCGGCGTACAGCTTCCGGGTTATGTGGCCGCATGACTAAGCTGCTTCTGGCGAACCAGAGCAACACACAGAAACGCTGTTTACCTTCCCGCAGGAGTGGTACCTATTTATCTACTTGCACTGGCATGCTTTTGAACTGCTAGGTTGGCAGAGAGAGGGAGCCTGACAACGCCACAATTCCCCCCACTTTCAGAACAAAAATCTACTAGATTGTTCCTAAGGAGATGGGAACTGTTTTTTGTTGCTGTTCAGCAACTGGGAGTCGGAAGGCCTTTCTGATCTACCACAAAGCACACAGAAGATCTACCTTTGGTTCCTCCCACACTAGATGAAAGGGATAATGGTTGCATTCTCGGCTTGGCCCTGACAATATTTCCTCTAGATCCAAGAAGCTCACCAAACGTATCGGCTCCCAGTATCTGATCCAGCTGTGGCTCTGCGATTACAGGTAGATTCGTATCCAAGCTGAATGGGGGCAGGCCTCCGATGCAAGCTAGATTCTCTGCTCCTGGCAGCAAAAACAACGTATTTCAGAAGAACAACAAAAAAAGAAAATGTGATACTCGGCAGGCGCACACAGAAAGAGGTGGATCTAGAATGAGTGCCTGAGAATGCCAAAATTCTGGGATTTCTGGGGCGTTAGGAATGCCTAGTGCAGTAGGGCAGAAGCTGCTAATGGTCAAAGCTTCTTTGGTTGTGGTTTTGGAGGGAATGGGGCAATATAGGGCTGGAATGCAGGACTCCTCTTTCCAGATCTGGAAAGAAAACAGATTCTAGGGGTGGGATGGGAGGAGGAAAAGAGAATTTCATTCACCAGCAGCACTCTCACAACTTTCTTCTCTACATCCCATCTGATACATGGAGCACAGGCTCGGGACAGCTGAATCAAAAAGAAAAAATACATATGCACAAAACTATGCAGTGAAAACCGATTAAAATGGTATGTGAAACCCCTAATTACTTGACTACAGAGTGGGGAACCTGTGGCCCTCTAGCAGTTGTTGGACTCCAGTTCCCACCAGCCCCTGCCAGCATGGCAATAGCTAAGCATGATGGGTGCTATAGTCTAGCAACCTTTGGAGGAGGGTACAGGTTACCATTCCCAGCTCCATCCCAGTGCTGACTCAAAAAGACAAGAACTGTAACGCTGCTCAGCAGAAAGATGGAAGACAATCTTGCATGCTCTCTCTAATGATGGAGCTGTGTCAAAAGTTAATACAGTGGTACCTCGCAAGACGAATGCCTCGCAAGACAGAAAACTCGCAAGACGAAAGGGTTTTTTGTTTTTTGAGCTGCTTCGCAAGACGATTTTCCCTATGGGCTTGCTTCGCAAGACGGAAACGTCTTGCAAGTTTGTTTCCTTTTTCTTAACACTGTTAATACAGTTGCGACTTGACTTCGAGGAGCAACTCATAGCACACGGTGTGGTAGCCTTTTTTGAGGTTTTTGAAAGACTTTGGTGATTTTTGAAGCTTTTCCAAAACTTTTCCGACACCGTGCTTCGCAAGACGAAAAAAATCTCAAGACGACAAAACTCGCAGAACGAATTAATTTCGTCTTGCGAGGCACCACTGTATAAGAGCAGATGCAGAAGAAGGGTGCCAGGGTGTGTTTTTTGGAGTGGGGGGACGGACAACGTCCATTATGCATATGGTCACCGGCCCCCAAGATTCTCTGTTCAGAGTCTCCAAGAAAACTGAGCATCTATATAAGCAAATAAGCAAAACTAAGTAAACTAAGCTTGGTGGCCTGAGTGTTGAACGTGGCTTGATTTAGAATTTCCCCTTCATTTCTTCTCCATGCTTTTATTATATTTATTTGATGCATTCATACCTCACCTATTTCCTGCAGCATCCAAACCAATCCCTTTCCAGTATCCTGATCACTCACCTTCTGTGGGGCTGCAATATTCCAGGGAACTCAGCATGCTCTCCAGGGTATCGCCCTGAAGGACAGGATAGAGAAGGTTCACAGACTGTTTATTCCTCTTTCCCTGTCCTCCTCCCACTGGCGTCTCCCCTACAGGCTGCTCTGCTTCTTCTTTCCACTTCCCCATCCCATGGCTGCAGGGACTGGGACAGGGAGGAAAGTAGAAGCACTGACCTGAGAAGGGGAAGAACTGTCTCCGCACAGTCCCGTGCTCCCAGACAGGGTAGGCGAAACATCACCGACTGCTGCCCCTGGGCAGAGTCATTCAGATCTACAAGATTACAAACAGAGGAGATTCTCGGTCTGATCCTTGGCTCCTCCTCGCATCTTTTGCCTAGTGATCCCCATCGGAAGCCCTCTGCTCTGTCCGATCTACCTACTTGGGGCATGCAGGATTTCAAACACCTTGTGGGGGTCTTCGGAGTCTGTGCTGTTATCCTGAAACATGCGGATCCCCTCCTTCCGGTTCAGGGCTGAGCGGAAGTTCCTTTTCCACTCGGAGGGCGTCCGTTGGTCAATGCCTGGGCGATGGCGGCCTCTGGCAATGGCCCAGTCCTGGAAAGAAAGCAGTTAGGTAGGGAGATTTCATAGGGACGCGGGTGGTGCTGTGGGTTAAACCACAGAGCCTAGGACTTGCCGATCAGAAGATCGGCGGTTCGAATCCCCGCAATGGGTGAGCTCCCATTGCTCGGTCCCTGCTCCTGCCAACCTAGCAGTTCAAAAGCATGCCAGTGCAAGTAGATAAATAGGTACTGCTCCGGTGAGAAGGTAAACGTGTTTCCGTGGGCTGCTGTGGTTCGCCAGAAGTGGCTTAGTCATGCTGGCCACAAGACCCGGAAGCTGTACGCCGGCTCCCTCTGCCAACAAAGCGAAATGAGCGCCGCAACCCCAGAGTCGGTCACGACTGGACCTAATGGTAAGGGGTCCCTTTACCTTTACGGAGATTTCATACACCCACACAGCAGACTTCTAAGCCCAGCTATAGCACCCTGCTCACCCATAAAGACAGTCTATCTGAAAGGCTCATGGTCAACTCTTTCCCTCCTTCAACCCTTGTATCGTCTTGACAGATGGATTTGGGTCAGCTGCCCCCAGGACTCTCCGACCTGCCACAAAACTGGAGGTCCCTCCAGATTTTACTGCACATTCTGAGTGATTTGTGCTCAGGATGTGGCCCAGGGAAGTCACACGCTGCTTCGTTTCCAATCAGTGGTTATCCCGTAATTTCCTGCTGAAATCCCGTAACCTTTTACACCACAAATTATTATTATTATTATTTATTGAATTTATATACCGCCCTTTACCCGGGGGTATCAAGGCACTTCACAGAATAAAATCAAGATATAAAACCACAAAATACCTAATAAAAATAAAAACAACAATAGCGCCCCCCCCCAGTTTTGTTTTGCTTTTTAAATCAGATCAACCAAAGGTCTGGTTAAAACTAAATGTTTGTGCTTGATGCCTAAAGGTATATAATGAAGGCACCAGGCGAACTTCCCTGGGGAGAGCATTCCACAGAGGGAGAGCCACTACAGAGAAGCCCCCGTTCTTGTGTTGCCACCCTCCGGACCTCTCAGGGAGGGGGCACATGAAGGAGGGCCACAGAAGATGATCTCAGGGTCTGGGTAGGTTCATATGGAAAGAGGCGGTCCTTGAGGCATTGCAGTCCTGAGCCATTTAAGGCTTTATAGGTCAAAAGCAGCACTTTGAATTGGGCCCAGAAACTTCCATATTTTTTGCTCCATAGGACGCACTTTTCCCCTCTTAAAAACTAAGGGGAGAAGTCTGTGTGTCCTATGGAGCAAATGCAGGGGGAAGGCAGGCAGGAAAAGCCCCCAAGAGCCGCACACAAGCTTCGCGCGGCTCTCGCGGGCTTTTCCCCAGGAGGGAGAAGGGACTGACACTGCCAGTCAGTCCCTTCTCCCTCGTAGAAAAGCCGCAGGAGCCGTGCGCTCCTTAAAGGGTGTGCGGCTCCTGTGGGCTTTTGCGGGAGGTGGGGGAATTGCCATAGCCGCGCGCAGCCTCTCCAGCTGGGAGAGGTTGCCAAGGCTAAAGAGGAAGCCAAGGCAGCGAGCCGGATGGATCGCGCTCGCTGCCTTGGCTTCTCTAGCCACGCTTCTTTAGCTGCGCTGGAGAGGTTTAGCTCCCGGCTGGAGAGGTTGCGTGGCTATGGCAAGAAGCCATCCCGCTCGCTGTCTTGGCTTCTTTGCTCTTTGGGGCTGGGGGAAACCCGGGCTTCCCCCGCAGCCCCGAGAAGCTCTGGGAGAAGCGGACAGGCTGCGTGCAGCCTGTCCGCTGCTCTTTGGGGCTGGGGGGGGGGATAATATTTTTTCTTGATTCCCCCTCTAAAAACTAAGTGCGTCTTGTGGTCCGGTGCGTCTATAGAGCGAAAAATACGGTAATTGGTAGCCAATGCAGTCAGACCAGGATCAGTGTAATATGCTCAAACCGTCTTGCTCCGGTGAGCAACCTGAATTCTGCACTAGCTGAAGTTTCTGAACCAATCCTCAGAGGCGTCCTCACCAAATATTTTGAAGTAAATCTTGGGAGGGAAGCGAATGCCCTGTGGGATCCAATATCCTATCTCTGTTTGTGGATGGTGCAAGGCAGAGGGGAAGCCAACGCAAGATCATTGGGGAAGGAAGGGCAGAGACCTTCTTGACACCAAGCTAGCGTCTGCTGCTTCGTTCAGTAAATAATAATACAGTGGTACCTCAGGTTAAGAACTTAGTTCGTTCTGGAGGTCCATTCTTAACCTGAAACTGTTCTAAACCTGAGGTACCACTTTAGCTAATGGGACCTCCTGCTGCCGCCATGCGATTTCTGTTCTCATCCTGAGGTAAAGTTCTTAACCTGAGGTACTATTTCTGGGTTAGCGGAGTCTGTAACCTGAAGCGTCTGTAACCCAAGGTAAAAGGTAAAGGTAAAGGTACCCCTGCCCGTACGGGCCAGTCTTGACAGACTCTGGGGTTGTGCGCCCATCTCACTCAAGAGGCCGGGGGCCAGCGCTGTCCGAAGACACTTCCGGGTCACGTGGCTAGCGTGACGAAGCTGCATCTGGCGAGCCAGCGCAGCACATGGAACGCCGTTTACCTTCCCGCTGGTAAGCGGTCCCTATTTATCTACTTGCACCCGGAGGTACTTTCGAACTGCTAGGTTGGCAGGCGCTGGGACCGAGCAGCGGGAGCGCAGCCCGCCGTGGGGATTCGAACCACCGACCTTTCCATCGGCAAACCCTAGGCACTGAGGCTTTTACCCACAGCGCCACCCGCGTCCCCTGTACCACTGTAGTAATAATTTGTTTTGTTCTCCCTTGAACCCCATTCATCCCGCCCACCTCCCACAGCTATTCCAGAACGTTACAGTTAAAACACGAAGGAAACCTCTTCCCCAGCTTTCCCCAACTTGACGCCCTGAAGACATTTTGAACTACAACTCCCAGCAGCCCAACCAGCATGGCTTGGGACGATGGGAAGTTGTAGTTCAAAACAGCTGAAGGGCATCAGGTTGAGGAAAGCTGCCTGCCAGGGCAGTGGGATGCGATGTGGGACACACACCAAAGGAAACACTCCAAGATTACCTCAAAAAGTTGGAAATCCTCGTCGCAAAATATTCTGCCGTGAGCCATGTTTCCACGGCACTCGGAACAGGGTCCGTTCTGGGTTCAGCCATGACAGCCCCGGGTACCGCCGGGCGTCCAACTGTTCCATTAGCCAGGGCACGATGAGAGGTCTTTGAGTACCCATGGAGGAAACTGTGGGAGCAGGAGAAGGGGAGGATGTCACAATGAAATCTGATGGGGGAGAGAAGGGAGTGGCAGGATAATGAGTCACTGCAACACAGCTGCAAGGGTGTAGGGAGAGAAAAGCTGTGTGTGTGTGTGTGTGTGTGTGTGAGAGAGAGAGAGAGAGAGAGAGAGAGAGAGAGAGAGATTGTTTGTGTGCTTTAGCACGGGACCCCAGACTCTAGTTTGCAGACAACCATGAGCTTCATTCAGGTGGTGGTGCCTGCAAAAACACAATTAAAAACCATACAGCCCCTAGGACTGCATACGACTTGCTACAACAGGCAGAAAAATCATTAAGTGGTCCGCCAAGTCCCTCAGCAATGTTCAAGCGGTCGGGTGGGGAGTTTGGGGATGTGGGTGGTGCTGTGGGTTAAACCACAGAGCCTAGGGCTTGCTGATCAGAAGGTTGGCGGTTTGAATCCCTGCGACGGGCTGAGCTCTTGTTGCTCGGTCCCAGCTCCTGCCAACCTAGCAGTTCGAAAGCACATCAAAGTGCAAGTAGATAAATAGGTACTGCTCCAGCAGGAAGGTAAACGGCATTTCCGTTTCGGCTCCCTCGGCCAATAAAGTGAGATGAGCGCCGCAACCCCAGAGTCGGCCACAACTGGACCTAATGGTCAGGGTCCTTTTACCTTTATCTTAAAGCTTGTCCTTGATGGACAGCTTTACATATGGCTGACAGCGATTGTGTGTGTGTGTGTTTGAGAGAGACGGAGAAAGACAGCGCGTTACTCTGATCCTTGATCTTTTTAGAGGCCTTTTCAAAGTGCTTCCGATCTTCAGGAACACAAGAGCCCCTGCTGGATCAGGCCAGAAACAAACCCAGCAACGCCTCCTCCCAGGAGTCCGGGGCTGGATTAAGCGCAAAGATCCCTTCATTGCAGGGGTTGGACTAGATGACTCTCGTGGTCCCAAGTCTACAAATTCCATGATTTTATAAGCAAGCAGAAAGGAAGACCGCAAAAGCCCCGCGCAATGGGCCTGTTTGCATGGTTTGGCTGCAACCCAATAATATAGCAACTAGAGGCCGGTCCCACCGAAACCGGCGTTGCTGAATTCCGTGCAGTCCTGCATTTACTTCCAAGTAAACGCGCCTCAACGGGGCTTGAGCTGCCGTTGCGGGATCCCTGCGAAACGGGATTTGCGGCTTGGCCAGCTTGAAAAGTCTCCCGCTTGGGATCTGGAATGCGGAAGTCCAGGAAGGATCTCCTTTGGGAGTGCGGGGGAGGGAGCCCCTCGTTGCCCCCCGCAACCAAGCACCCACCTCTCAGGATCGCTTTTGTTCCGAGACCCCCGTCCAGACTAGTTCTTCCTCTCCGGCGAGCCGCAAAACGGAGCCTCTTCGCCCTTCTCCGCGGCGCCACGTGATTGCGAAAGTAGCTTTCGGTTTTCAGTCCCGAGAGCCATTTTCGCCTGATTCCCCGCCTCCCTCGGGGGCGCGCAGAAAAGAGGGGATTATCTTGTGGGGTTCCTGCGTTTTCGATTCATTCGTTTCAAAAGAGAGAAAACGCCTAAGGTGCAGGGTAGGTTTTAATAGGAGATGATATATTAATTGCAGTCTATCCCTCCAGGCTCACACGTGTGTGACAAGTCGTGCAGAGTTCCAAAGTCCTACCCCTTACAACAAAATTAAAAGCACAGGAATTAGGTTTTTGATCAAGTCCATAAGTAATCTGGCTTCCTCCTCCTCACCCCACTTCAGAAAGACTCAGGCAACAACTTCAAAAAATCTCTACAAAACACAAAATCTGTATTCCTACACAGTACTGAGCCCATAACCTTTGTGGGATGGGTTTTAATGGGCAGGATAGGATATATTAATTGCAATATATCCCTCCAACTCATTAAAACCCATCCTGCTTCAGGAATTGAGATGGTTTTGGTTGTCAGTATGTTCTCCCCCCTTTTTTTTGTACATGGTGACAATTCCAAAGCTATGGATGCGTTCCTCTGCTGCATTGGGGGGGGGCATTATTTATCAGAAATAGAGCTCCCAGAGCAGCTTGCAAATATCTGTGATTTACCTCTCTCAACGTATGAGAATATTCCTGGTGTAAGAGTATCACTGGTTGGAGAACATCTGTATATACCAACCAGAGTGGCTGGGGAAACTCATTATTATTATTATTATTATTATTATTATTATTATTATTATTATTATTATTATTATTATTATTTTATTTTATTATTATTCATCTAAAAGGAAAGGTTTGAGACAGATGATACTTACAAGACTTCCTTCAAACCAGAAGGCAACTTATTTTGTTTATTTATTTAAATTATTTTTATTTCACCTTTCAGCCAGAAAAGGCTCCCAGTGACTAACCACTAAAAAAAGGACAGCCCCTGTCCTTGAGCTTATAATTTTTAAAAGTCTTGACACAAAAGGAAAATGGATTGGGAGAGAGGAGGAAATAAGCAAACTCGGGTTCATGTTCTTTCTGTTACAAGTGGTTTTAATGACCACCTTCTGGTTTGTATGTGTGTACATATGTGTCTATGTCTATGCATTTTGCATTAGGTGCTTGCTTTACTACAATTTGTGTGAATGACTAGAGTTTTTATTCTTCTGGTCTCTAACTATTTAGTCTCTGAGTAGGAGGACAGCTGCACAGGGGAACAATCACCTTGGACACCACTTGGTGGAAAGGTAAGATACATATCTCACAGAACAAATCCACCATATCTCTAGTTGACACATGGCTAAATTACGATACATGGACAATACCTTGCCACGTAGTACATAGCTTGTCATATTCCATCCTGCAGCTGCTGAAATACATTTCTGAAGGAACTTCAAATGGAAATTCCAGGATGAAACTGCAAAATTACAACTCCAGCTTCTCAATAAGTTGAATAATTTAGATCTGAATACAGGCAACGGTTTCTTGTTCCACTGAATTTACTCAGCAGCGCTGATTGTTTTAACACCAATTCCTGTTTTGAAATGTCGTGTTCGTTTTGCATACATTTAAGCTCTGAATTGTCAATGGCAATACTCTTTATTGACATTTGTAAAGTAGTTTATGACATAAGAGTTTTGTTGAGGCTTTAAGGATCTGCAAGACTCGGGTTGATTTTTGCAAGAATATATTTAACCTAAAGAGCAAACGCCGAGGTTTATTAAATCAACAGAGGACAGATTATTGAAGTGATCTCATCTGGAATACTGCCTTCAATTCTGAGTGCAACACTTTAAGGTTGTAGACAACTTAAGAGAATGTGGTTGGAAGCACACAACACACAGTTAGGAAAGGGTGAATAAAAACTGGGTACATTTGGTCTGGAGCAGAGAATGGCTGTCACATAGAATAAGTCAAACCTGTACTCTGCCGACCCAGAGTTGGGAGCACTTACTCTAATGGGCTTAAATTACAGGAGGGTAGATTTTGGCTGACCCTTTGGGGAAACTGATTGTGCACATCATAGGTCGAGTCTGCTATGTTCAGCAAGGTTCCTCTTTACAGACATTCCTCGCCCACACCCACAGGGCAGTGGGAGATGCAACAGCAGGGGGCAGGGGCAGGGGTGCACCCCAAATCTCTCCCTCAATGTGATTGTGCGGAAGACACTGAGGGGGAAAGGTTTCAGACTCTTAGGAAAGAACATGGGAAGCTGCCTTGTACCAAAGTCAGATCATCAGTCCATCTAGCTTAGTATGGTTGATACTAACAGGGAGTAGCTTCTCCAGGATTTAAGACAGGGCTCTCTCCCAACCTCACAGGGACCTTCTGCATGTACATATATCAAGCAGATGCTCTACCACTGAGCCACAGCTCTCCTCAAACTTTTAAATGTTGGAGGGTATGTACCGGTAGATACATTTGCACTCTGCACAAAGCAATAAGAGCGAGAACTGTTCAGTTTTCTGGGAACCTTCACTTCCATGAGATCTCTTTAATTCTGTGGATTCTTCTTCCCTGTTGTTTTGCCATGCCCTGTCATTCTAATGAAATTAGAATTTCCTCCTTCAAGTCTGCTGACAATACACGAAAGTGCCCGGCTGGGTCATTGTGCTGACAGAGCAGGAAGCTGTTTGCCCTTGCTCCACTCTGTGCCTTGTTTTCAGAGAAAGGCAAAAATTTGTTCTTTTAAAATGGACGGTGGTGGGAGGGGACAGTTTGAATAGCCAGAAGAAGGGCCACAATTTGCTTTGTGAGATTTCACAGTAAAGCAGAAAGCTGGCACCAGAAACCAGAAGCAGTTTTGATCCAGTGACCTCTGGGTTGGGAGAATAACACAGTTGCACTGTCCCACTCTTGGCAGAGTAGTAGTTCAGCTTCTTTCTTGATGGAGCTGTTGCCCTGGGCACTCCCAGGGCACAAGCAATAACCCAGAGAAGCAGGCTGCTGTCAACAGCACAGTAGCTAGTATTATGGTATTTGTTTTCAGAGCCGAAAACCCTGTTGTTGTTTTTGTCCTGTTGTCAGGGGTAGGTGGGCTGAGCAGCCCTTGATTCTAAAAGGGCAGGAATCTCTTATGGGAAGCAGAATCCTTTACCCTTCCCCACCTTTTGCCTAAGAAACAAACAAAAACAAACAGAGCCAGTGTGGTGTAAAGTGTCAATCTAGGCCAGGATTTGAGAGACTGGGGTTCAAATCCCTGCTCAGCCATGACCTTGGGCCAATCACAGAACTCAGCATAGCCAACTTTGCAGGGGTTTTGTGAGGATTAGATTGAGAAAGGGAGAAAACATGTGTGCTACTTTGAGCTCCTTAGAGGAAAGTTGGTATATAAATGTAAGAGAATAAATTAAATTACAAAGAACACTAAGCTTGTATGAACAGAAGCAAAATACCCATCCTACTAATAAATAAGTTTTTGGCTGGAAAGCAGATAAGCATTTTATGGAGATGTGTTTCAGAGGAAATATATTTTTATCCCACTAGAGCCAAAAGATTGTGGGTACGCCCACATTACACACACACTGTGTGTGCGTGTGTGTGTGTGTGTGTGTGCGTCCATGTCTTGAAAACAGTTCAAAATTGGAACTGAGAACAGAGGGAACTGCTTCTGTAAAACACATAAAGGAGAGGAAGTAGTAGCCATAGGAGAAGACGTCCCCAAACACCCACCCTTGAAATTTCAGCAGCAGATACAACCTACGCATTTCCAAGCTTTTCTCTACTGTCATGAGGTCTAGAAACTTTGCCTTAAATGAAAAGTTACATTCTTTGTTTTCTGATACCTGTTGAAGGTGCAAAGACTAAACACAGTGCTGAGTGAATAGCCATTACGATGGGGAACACATGTAGGGATCTAAGCATATTACTTTTAGTGGCAGGTAAAACCGCACTAGCCAAATCCCTTCCTGCTGTACAGCTGTTAAAAACCCAGAAGCACACCTTAAGGCTACAGTGATATCATGCACACTTATTTGAGAGTAAACAACATTAAAGCCACTGAATCTAGTGCAGTAGGTAGCATGTGAGACTAGAACTGGGAACGCCCAGGTACAAATCCCTGTTTAGCAATGAAGCTCACTGGGTGATCCTGGGCCATGCACTGTATCTTGGCGTAACCTACACCATAGGTTTGTTTTGTGAGTATATGGTGGGAATAACCATGTGTATTGCCTTGAACTCCTTAAGAGGGGATGGAATACAGTGGTACCTCAGGTTAAGAACTTAATTTTTTCCGGAGGTCCATTCTTAACCTGAAACTGTTCTTAACCTGAAGCACCACTTTCGCTAATGGGGCCTCCTGCTGCTGCCACACTGCCGGAGCACGATTTCTGTTCTCATCCTGAAGCAAAGTTCTTAACCCGAGGTACTATTTCTGGGTTAGCAGAGTCTGTAACCTGAAGCGTATGTAACCCAAGGTACCACTGTATAAATGTAAATGTAAGGAATAATAGTATAACACACACAGGACTGTATTGTACGACTGGGAAACCTAGGTCTGTTTGGAGACTGGGGATGGAAGAAGCACAAAATGATTTGACATAGCAGATGCCTTCCTTCTCCAGGAAATACTTCTATTATTTGTTTTTATGTGTAAAAACAGTATGTTGTTGCTAAAGATGTTTCACAACCACAAATATTTCTTTTGGCGTTACCAAGATGTAACACCAGGGGGTGCTAATGTCCAACATTTGCTGATGGCATCATATGTTTTGTATTATTGATTGTAAATTGTTGGGTGGTTTAATTTCTTTAAGCAAAAAAACCCAAGATGGATCCAGTACACAACCAACTGGCTAGAGAATCTTCCTAACAGTCTTTTTCCATTTGTGATTCCAGGCGTCTATGCTTTCATGTCAAGAGGCACTGAAGTGGATTTGGAAACACTTGCACAGTAAAACTAAACTGGAACTCAGGGTCAACCTAGTTATAGCTTGGCTCCAGATCTGTGCTTCTAAGTGCAAGTTTTACTGAACACAAATTGTTACTGTAGGGTCCCAAATTCAGACCCTAATGAGGAAACCTAACATAGAAGGCTTGTTTCAAGCCTAATAATGGGTGTGTGATGTGGTCATTTACAGGGGAGGAGGCATAGATGGGAAGAGGTTAATAATCTCCATGTACTGAGATTCCTGGAATATGCCCCCTACTTACCATAATTAGAGTAGTTTTTTTCTTTTCTTTTGGAGCCAACCTTCTACTG